GTATATATATAATTATATTAATGGTGAGAAGTTCATGAGTTGACTGTTTTGACAGATTGCTATTTGTGTATTAGCCCCATTTACTTAAAAAAAAAAAAAAATTGATCTAAAAAATTAAATTACTATGTACATTAATCCTTTATCTAAAGGATATCATCAATCCAGTGCTTAAATTTAATTTGTGTATGAACACATTTTATCGTTGCAATGGATATACATATTATTACATATAAAAGACACTATTTGGTTTTTTACATTTGTCCATAATAGTTCTTAATGACCGAAATAAGCGGCATTCTCTACTCCAAAAACTACTCAGCGCAGCTATTCCGAATTCATTGAGAGCATATTTCTATGCCTGACCATAATTGTAAAAACATAAATATAGACATGCGGTAACACTCACACGGCATATGCTATTAATAACTCAAAATGTTATTTTTACACCTGTCCAGTCACAAATATATATATAGCTTGCGCTGAAGTGGAAGAATATATATAATAAAATATATTACAAATACTTTTACATACGATCTGAGAAGCATTAATGGAGAGCACTTTGAGCAGATGCTACCCACTGCGGACTCATCATACAAAAGTGTTTGGCAGTAAGCGACAGCAAACAAGTGGCTAAAATAAGAGTGAAGAATGTTCAAAGTGCTGTAGGCATTCACAGTGGAGCTAAATCATTTTGTTTTCACTCTTATGCTGGCTGCCTCAGTTTAATTATCACAATTCCAGATTCGGTTCATGTAGCTGAAGCTGTGGCTGTAGCTGTAGCTGTAGCTGTAGCTGTAGCTGGGAACAGCTCATAAATTGTGCGGCGAACAAGTTGATGCTGACGGCGACTGTTGTGGCTGCTGGATAACAACAATAAGAAAATAAAACAAAATAAAAAAGACAACAAAAAATTGCAAAGAAGAAGAGGAAGCATGATGGAAATATTTATTGCAAGTTGTAAATTGAAAATCGTCTTAGTTTTGGCTCTGCGACTGCACGACAAGCGACTGGAGCTGAACATGGTTAAGAAACTATTCAAATCAATGAAAACTGATAGCCTCGCAGGCAAGAGCCAAGTCATGATTAACATAGGCTCGCGGCCCTAAGTACTACTCTACTCGCTGGCATGCCTGGCCAAAGATGGCACCGTCCTTCGATGCCTTCGATGCCGCGTGTAGCATTTAAGCGACATGCCAACACTTGAGCACTTGACCATGCAATAGCTGCGGCCTCCTGCTGCTCTCCCCATGCTCCTGCTGCTCCTCCCTCTAGTTGCCGTTGCTGCAAACGTATCATTAACAAGTCACGACAAATTCGCGGTCAGACATTTGAAAAGGCAATGCCAAATTTGGTGTGGACATTGGCATTAGATAAACTCCCAACTCCATTTTCAAGTACAACTCCAACAGCACTCCCTACCAGACGTTCCTCTACCTCCCTCTCTCTCTCTCTCTCTATCACTGTCTCTCTCCCTCTGTTGCTCAAGTGCCAAGTACATGGACAGGTTGGCCGGCTGACTGCCGGCGGCTGCTTTGAACAGGGACCACCAGCCAGTCCAGCCCAGTCCAGTCCAGAGGTGTGAAAAATCTAAAATGCAAACATGCAACGAGTGCCACAATATCTCCAGACCTGCACACTCCATTTGTAGTTGCTCCCCTGGGCACTGCCCAAAATAAAAAAAATACAAAAATACAAAAAAATAAAACAATGAGCAAAATAAAAATCGAAAAGAAAATCAAATCCAGCTTCAACTCTTCCCATACGCATGAATTATTTATTTCGATTGTCTGCGCGTTGTCTTGGCGCGCTTCGTTGCATTATTTTTAGTGGCTTTGAATTTATGGGGCGAGCGATGAGTGGAGGGGCGAGTGGCGAGTGGCGAGTGGGGGCATAGCCTGGCATGGCCGAACGCTCAAATTATAGCAGGAGCATGCAAAATTTATTAACAAACATAAAAATTGCTCGAGAATTTATTTCATCTTAATTCAATTTAACAACTTAAACAGCCATAAAGTGTTCACATAGTAAATCAATGCAACGTCCTATGCAGAATTCTCCACATGTCCACGTGCATCTGCATCAGCACCAGCATCGGATGCTAGCCGGCAGTAGTTGTAGCTGCAGCTGCTGCTCCTTGGGCTCGCTTGTAAATTTATGAGCTGCGCATGAAAATGAGTCAAAACAAATTATGCCGGCAACTGCTGCGGCTGATTGACAGCGTACCTTGGCAGCAGCAGCAGCAGCAGACGGAGCAGGAGACGGCGTAGCATCGCAGCGATTATGATGTGAACGAGATAGCTATCAGCATGTAGTAGGCTGCAACAATTTTCAGGCATTAATCATTCCGCTAAATATATGAGGGTGGCTCCATAATTCACCAGCAAATACCCCAAAAGCAGCTCTCTCTCAGCTCTTCCGACTCGAGCAGAGAATTTCGACATACTCAATTTGGCGTAATAGCCGAAAATGTCTCGAGGCTCGGGGTTTTACATTCACTAGATTTTAATATCTTTATATAGATCGCATTTCTGGAATGTTTCGTGATCAGTTTATTAATGGTTTGTGAAATAATTTAAAATAATTTAAGTGTTCAAGACAGTTGAAGGGGGAGTGGGTGGGTAAGAGGCTTAGCTCTGGCAATAGCAGCCATCGGCGCTGTTCTTTTTGATCCAGTCCAGGAATTTGCTGACGCGAGCATAGACGCCTGGGGCATTGGCCTGAGCACAGCCATAGCCGAAGGAGACGACGCCGGCGAGCTTGTAGCGGCCCTCGTTGACAATCAGTGGCCCGCCGCTGTCGCCCTGGCAGGCATCCTTGCCGCCGGACTTGACCAGGCCGGCGCAGAGCATCACGTCGGCGATCTTGTCCTTGTAGCGTGTGGCGCGGCACTGCTGGTTGGTGATGATCGGCACGCTCACCTCCTGCAGGTAGTTGCTAGTGGTGCCGCCCTCCTTGACCAGGCCCCAGCCAGCAACGGTGGCCTAAGAGAGCGAGAGAAAGAGAGAGAGAGAGAGATTAGAGTAAACAGAGAGTGGCTGAGTCTCGCTGAACTTACGGTTTTGCCATCAAAGTTGTGATTGACATCGGGCAGACAGACGGGACGCATGTTGCCAGTGAGCGGCACAGGCGACTCGAGTCGCAGCAGCGCCACATCGTTGATAATGCGAGTGGGATCGTATTTGGGATGGATGGTGGTGCGCACCACCTTGCGCACAATGCCCGGATCTGACGAGGATCTGTCCAGCTGCAGCAGACGCACCGTGATCTGATCCCGATTGCCGTACACGCAATGCGCCGCCGTCAGCACGTAGCGATCGTTGATCAGCGAGCCGCCGCAGAAGAGACGGGCATAGTAGCGGCCCTTGACCAGCTGAGCGGTCCACGGATACTTGTTGCTGCGCACCTGCTGGCCGCCCACAATGCGATTCACATTGGGCGTGCCGCAGACTGTGGAAGGCAAAGCACATGAGTTGATATATGCGTAAATTAAGATAGAATTCAATGTCCATTTGGTACTCACAGCAATTGGCCTTGGTGCTGCAGCCAACGCGCGAAGGACGTGCTTTCACATCGCTGACCGGCTCCTCCACCAGCTGCTCCACCACATCCCCAAACTGTTCGCGGAGCGTGTGCTGCGGCGCCAGGTATTGGTATTGAGCCAGGGTTAGGCTGCAGGCCAGCAGCAGCGCTGCCAGGGCCAGATAACGACGCATCTTGACTGGAGTTTGTTTGGGTGGCAATTGACTTGGCTGTTTGAACAGCGCGCGCTACTTATAGCAGCTCAGGCCCGGCTTCTTCTTCTTTGTTTTCTTTCTGCTTCAGCATCAAATTTTAAATATGAATGTTTTATTGCTTGTTCGAACAGTTGGCTGATCGCGCAATTTGTGTCTTTCTTTCTTTCTTCCTTTCTTTCTGTCGTTCGTTCGTTCGCTCATGCTGTCTTTCTCCGCTTTCTTTGTTTGCTTTCAGGTTTATTTGCATAAAACTTTAAGAGATGCTCACAGCCAGAACCCAAACGCAAAATGATAAACTTTTCAACATTATTGTTTTTAACACCCTGTATTTGTGTGTGATGGGGTGTTATGATAGAGGAAGGTATAGATATCATTATACAAGAAATTTATATTATTCATATTAGATAGAAATTTATAAAATTTATAAAAAATATTTTTTGTAGAGATTTATTATTTGTAA